CGATTCATAAATATGCCTCTTTTCTTCTATAAGAGGTTCAAGGATAAATTGTTGGTTCTTCACCATCTTAGGCCCACTTAGTGCGGTGAAAGGAGGAAGTAGTGACGCAGCTTGTAGTCCTTTGGCCTGGGGATTTTTCTTCTGATCTTTGGTGGTAGAAGTAGAAGACGCCATTGATGAAGTTTTGGTAAAAATGGGTTTGTTGAAGAAAGATTGGGAGTTATTTTGGAAGAGGTGCGTACATGATTGTTAGAGTGAAAAAGTTTTAAATAATTTCTGGTGAAATTATTTATAAGGCGTTTTGAAGTAATCAAAAGCCACTATTCATTAGTGAGGGCTAAGAGTAGTGGGACACGCAGCGTCCCAGGATTGAAAATGGGGGCGGTGGCAGTTATTGCCTAGACCCACGATTTCATAGGTCCTAAAAAAGTGATGATGGTTTGAGATTTTGTAGGATTTCCAAGAAATTGTTCATAATGGGCCATGACGTCTTGGGCGTGCGTAGCTGAACAGTTTTGTTTTCTTTCTAAAGTCATGGGTAGTCAGTTGCATTGACATTTATGTAGAGGTCGGAAGATGGCGTCGAATTGGATGCTATCAAAAAATAATCTTTTTTCTTCAGCATGGTCGAAAAAGACATTTTTTGGGGGCAATTTGTTAGCTCACAAATTCGACACCCATACTAAATTAAAATCTTTGGATGAAATATTAAACTCTTGAAGAAGTATGAAAAATCTTCGAGTGAAGAGACCTTCGAGTAGGCTGAGTTACTTAAGTATTTGGGACTTAGAAAATATTTCCAAATATTAAAGATGCCACCTTCGACCGAGGCTGTTGGCCAAATATTAGTGGAATTTTGAAATTCAAATAAAGGAGGAAGTAATTATGCTTTCTCATGACTAAACAAGACAAGTGGCGCACATCCAGCAAGTGACTACATGCGACGTGACACTTGTCATAGGCTGGTCATTTTAGGAGGTTAATGACAGTTAATTTTACTATTATAAATAAGGGTTCTAGCAATAGAATTCAGTGTGTTGTAATTTACTATTGTACAAGTCACTCCCAAAATTACTCAAAGTATCCGAGTGTAGAGAAACGAGTTCTAGGAGAATGTACGTCATGTAAACACACCATCTTTACGTTCAATGAAACTTATTTTATTTTGCTTAATCTTAAAGAGTTTATCTTTACTTCCTTGCAATTTACATTTTCTTACATTCTGCTTTACTTTGTTTAAATGTTTTAAGGGTATTTTACTTTATTTCCTACAAATTCACGTCCTTTCATTTCAGTCGAGCCTTACCTTTACATTAACCTTTTTCTCAAAAGCACTGTCGAAGTGTTTAGTTTTAGGTAGTTTTCTTTCAAGTAGATTTTAGCACATGTCCTAGGATCAATTTGATCTCTCCTGTGAGTCACCAAAGTTAGATTTGGAAGATTAGTGGTTGTTTTTCAATTTTCAAGGGAAACAGCAGGTCACTGCCTAGCACGGGGAAAGCTCACGCATCTTTTCCACGTTTTCCATGTGCCCCCCACGCGGAGATACGTCATCAGCAACTACCCACATCCGAAAGAATAGATCACCCATCTTTCGAAGATCATGGGGCAATTAACCCAGGGCGAATACCACATGTTGGTCTTCCCTACGCCACGTAAGCCCTGACAGTTACTTGTGTTGGGCCTTGCAATCCAACCCAATGCAAAGTAACCGTTGATCCAAAGCTAGGGGCACATTATAAATACCCTCTTTCGCTAGAGGGTCGGGTATTCTGAACTCTACACCTATTTTATGTACTTGCTATCTCTCTAACTCCGTTACACACTTTAGCATCGGAGTACCTTGCAGGTACACCCCCTTTTCCTCTTCAACACCGATGAACACAGAAGCTCACGACGCGTGGCAAGCCGCTGATCCCTTTCTGATCCGGTAAGATCAATTATATAATATTTATTCTCTTTATCTCATTGGAAGAGAAACGAAGGAATAAGAAAATCTACAATTAAAAGGTCATTGCTCTATCAAAATTATTATCTTCTCATTAACCTTTCATTAATCCTAAAGGTACGCTTTCACTTTCTATTTTATCTTAAATTGAATATGATTTAATAAAGTATAGACTATCAGAAAATCCTAAAGAAAAAAAAAACACCAAAACTTCTTAGTCTTTTCGTATAAAGGGGTAGGTTAAAAAAAGAGTGATATTGATCCTAATTTAGAATTGTTTCTCTAAATGAGTAAAATTTCACAATAAAAAAAAATCAAACTATATTCTTTTTTAGGTTACAAAGTTAGACTTCATTCTCTCGGATGTTAAATAAAAATAAAAAAATTTAATTTAAATTTAAACTAAATACAATTAATTTTTATTTTTTATATTTAAGATAGATGGGATATATAATTATATATAGTTTAAAGTAGAACTATTTATTTTTAAGAAGTCAAATTTCCTATTTAGCATATAATATTTTTGTTCTTTTATAAGTTATTTTGATATTTTTACATTTATTAAAAAATATAATATTTTATATGAAAAAGTTTAATTATGAAGGATTTATAAAATTTTCATTGATTAATAATATGACAAAAAAATTTAAAAAAATTAAATAACAAAAAATAATAAACATTTAAAAACCATAATAAAAAATATCAATTATTTATTAATATTATAATATGATGTATAATTTGTTGTAATATTTTTCTCTAAAATAACTTAATAATAAAAAACTAAGAGAGTAATATATTTAATAAGAGAATTCTTATTACTCTTTTATCCCACACAATATTTATAATGAGTTTCACATAGGGATGAAAATTGGACTCATCTCTAATGTATATGTAAAAATTATTTAAAACGGATAGGGATAGGGTAAGAATTCGCAAAATAGATATGACTATTGGCACGATCAATTACCCACAAAAATAAATAAGTATAGACACAGATGTTTATATATTTATATTTATATTTATATTTTATGTATACATGTTTATTTATCAGTTTAATTAAATATATCACTATTATGCATTTTATTATAAATATTTATTTATTTTTTAACACGAAAATAATATTCTTGAGTTTTTTTAATATTGTTAAAAAATTAAAATAATAAAAAAAATATAATAAATAGATATGGGTATAAATACTTAAATATCCATGTGTATGAGTATGTATATAAATATTGATGTCCACGCAAATATGAGATTGGATACGGTGAATTTTTTAAAACATCAAATATAAAAACAAATAATATAAATCTTATCCAAATCTTACCCATTATCCTCCCTAATTTCAAAGCTTAATAATAATGTTTGACATGTTTTCTCTTTATTCTTTTTGAAAAAAATATTTGTTTATTAATTTATCGTTTCAAAATTAAAATATATATATATATATATATATATATATATATATATATATATATATATATATATATATATATATATATATATATATATATATATATATATATATATATATATATATATATATATATATATATATATATATATATATATATATATATATATATATATATATATATATATATATATTCAATGGACTTATTAGAAAAACTTAAATATTTATTACATAGAAAAATACATAGTATAAATTCCGGACGGATATATATATATATATATATATATATATATATATATATATATATATATATATATATATATATATATATATATATATATATATATATATATATATATATATATATATATATATATATATATATATATATATATATATATATATATATATATATATATATATATATATATATATATATATATATATATATATATATATATATATATATTCTGGAAGGACTTATTAAAAAAACTTAAAGATTTATTACATAGAAAAATACATAGTATAAAATAATAAATATTATAGAACAGTGAAAAATAATTCTATAAAAACTCATAAAATTGATTCATTTTATTGACATATATAAATTATCTTAAAACAACGAATAAAATGCAAGATAGTTTTTTTTTCTATAGTATTTATTTATGGAAAAATGTTATTTTTACACTAAATTTATACACCTATACCGTATTTTATTATTCACCAATACGGTAAACAGTGAAATATTATAATAATATATTTTTTAAAAAAATATAAAAATTAATATTTTAATATTTTTTATTTTTTATTTATTTTTAAATTAAATAATATTAATATAAAATTGTATAATTAATCAATTTTATAACCTCATTAATCAACCTTGTATATTTTATTAACCAATTTTATTTGTTGCCAAATATTATTTTTAATATCGAAATGTTTATTAATTAACTTCGTATCTTCATTAATCAATTTTTTACTTTTCATTAACCAACTTTGATTTACTACTAAAAATATTTTTAATATCTGGGCATCTATTAATCAACTTCATCACTTCATTAACCAGCATTTTATATTTCATTAATCAACGTTATTTCACTACTTTAAGTTACTGTTCACGGATATTGTTGACATACATTGTTTATGTACTGTTCATAGATACTGTTTACGCACTGTTCATATACTGTTTATAAAAAAAAAAATATTTAAAAGACATAAATATAGTGAACAGTTATGTATTTGGTGTAAAAAATGGTGTAGAAATAGCAAACATGTTATTTATATTACTTTATATTCTCTAAACAAAAACTGAGACTTAGTTGGAAAAAAAAAAATAGAAACCAAGACCACATTTGAAACACATTAAAAATCTATAATAAAATATATATTTAAAAGTTTTTCTTGAATAATAAATCTAATCAAAATGAAATAATTAACAAAAATAGTACAATAAGAGAAATATTATTCATGATATTTATATTTTTTTATTCATACATGATTATTTTTTCTTTTTCCCTGGAATTTTTTAAAAATTCAATGCACACAGGCTTTAATCATTATTCATACTATTAATTTTTTTAAATTGTTGATTTATAAATTTCATTAAACCATTTTACATTAACATAATAGAAAACTAAAGCATTAATTTTTTCTTCTCTTTTCCGTAGCTTGGTTTTTAATTCCAATAACAGGTTCCTTTGCAAGAAGGATCATAGATTGTGATATATCTATATCACAAATACGTGATTTCACTGTATCCTTAAACTCTACAAATAAATTTTTCAATTCCTTGAGTTGAGTGAAGTTTTCAGCTTTATGCTTATTTAAGATCTCATCATGGACCTTAGCTTCATTTTCAGCCACATTTATTTGTGCCCTCAAATCATCAAGTTGTTGATTGAGATCCTCGATGATAGAAGAGTTTCCTCGAACATTACTTCGATTGAGTTCTTTTTGAAAAAACTTGGACGCAATAGCATCAACACTTGGGTGCCCAAAAGAGTAAGGCTTATTCCCAGGCGAGAGCACAACAATAGCAATTTGTGCGCCGCATAAGATAGCAAGCTCGTTTGCTTTTTTGAATAAGCCTGTTCGACGCTTTGAGAATGTCACTTGCCTCGCAGCAGAGTCTTTCACTCTCGCAATCTCAATTTTGCGACGACCCATAATTTTTCACTCACTCCACACTGTTCACTACTAAAAAAGACAGACAGAAAATAACGAGGTTATTATTGTGAAAGATTGTGGCTATATTGATCACCCTATACCCCTATTTATATACATAGAATAACGAGGTTCATTGTTTCTAATAATGTATTCAAATATTTTTTTAAATAAATATATCAAAGTTTTATATTTTTATTAGTTTTCAAAACTTTTCTTAGATATTAAATGTTTTAAGATTTTTTTTTTTTAAGTTTTTATTTCAATTGTGCTCATAAGAAGTGCAGGATTTTTCTTTCACATAACAATAGTAGGAATTGTCTTACAAAACTAATATTGCATATAATTAAAAATAGACTTAAATAATTTTTTGATTCCTGTACCTTGAAGTGTTTTTTTTTTTTATTTTGGTTCCTGAATTTTTTTTATAAATAATTCTCAAATATTAAAATTATTTTAATTTATATATCAAAAATTAAAATCCACTTAAAACATGCTAATTTTAAATTTAAAGACTAAAAATCAAATAAAATTCAACATTTAAAGTTTTTATTAAATAAATATAATAACAAAAAAACAAAAACATGTTAATTTATAGATATTAAAACACTATTCAAATTTTAAAAATAATAAATCTAAACTTAATTTATCCAGAAGAAGTATATTATTATATCGATTTAATTAATATATATTAATAGAGTAAAATTGAGTCATAGTTTCGGATCCTAAATTTTTTTACTAATCAAAAATACTTTTCAAGTCTTATATATATATATATATATATATATATATATATATATATATATATATATATATATATATATATATATATATATATATATATATATATATATATATATATATATATATATATATATATATATATATATATATATATATATATATATATATATATATATATATATATATATATATATATATATATATATATATATATATATATATATATATATATATATATATATATATATATATATATATATATATATATATATAATTTAAAATACTTACACAATTAATATATTATAATACAAGTGATGGATGTTTGAGTCTTTTAATTATTTAGTTTAGAATTCGATAATAAAACATATTTTACATTGATAAAAATTCCAATTTAAGCTTTTTATTATATCTCACAAAACTTTTTTCTTTATTTTTTTTTATAAATCACTCATATATTTAAAACTCAACCAAAACTCTTTCAATGGTCAATAAATCTATAATTAGGCTTAAGTGATACAAGGAAATGAAGTGTGAAATTCCAAACAATGCTAAAGTCAGCTATGGAAGCCAATTTGCCCCGACATTGGTCAATAGATATAAGTGATGAAGAAGAACATTGACCTTATTTTGACTATATTGTTTAGCCATCTCGTTTTGATGTTTCCAAAGTATCACTTTTCCATCTTGCACAATAAGTATTGTATTTCGAAAACTACGATCTTACGAACGTATTGCACGCTCGCGAAGAACTAATTGAGTCGTCAATAGATTTTATTTATTATTAAAAAAAAAAAGAAAAATAATGATAAAATCTTAAAAAAAATAAAATAAAATGGTCATCGCAATTATATATTTTATTTCTTAAAATATTTACAAAAGGAAAAATATTTTTATTAATGTGTTTGCCAAGATTTCAAAACCTCGTACTTACGTGTTCTCAGGTGCAATGAGAAATTTAGAGTTTCGTAATTCATGTCAAAAATGTTTGTGGGTTGATTGATTTTAGAAAATAGGATTTATGTCATATTCTTGTGTTTAAACATTGTCTTGTATGCTCGGATGATAGAGGAAGAAGTGCTTGTGTGTATTTCGGGTTGAAATGACTTCATCTATTCTTTTTATGAAATGGTTTGAATTATGTGCGCAAGGAAAAAAAAATTGTTTGATGGATAGAAGATTGATTTCATTTTGGAATAAGAAAGTTAGTTTTAGATCCTTTCTTATCTTTTGATTTTTTTTAATTAAATGAATAAAATAAAATAATATAATAATATAATAAAAGGACATACTTTTATATATTTTTATATTTTTTAACAAAAATGAATAACCTAAACTAAAACTTAACAAAATTAGGTTAAATAATCAAAGTTACACCATGTCTTAACTATGAAAATGGTGTATTTTTTTATTTTTGTGATTTTGTTAAATATTCTATTTTTTTTGTTGGTAATTTTAGTATTTTTATTTAGTGCTTAAAATAAATTGAAGAAATAAAAAAAAATTAAATAAAAATAGGTGTGCATGCTGGATTGTGGGTGTTTAAAATATTATGTTTGGGTCAGGCCCAACATAACAACCATCTAAAATTGCAGCTGATCTTATCTGAAACGCAGCCTCACCAACAAGACCAGGATTCTTTCATTTGGTGGCGGCATCCGCAAGGTTTTTCGGTTAAAAATGTTTATTTAAGGTTGTTTTCCTTGAAAGGAGAAAGGTCAGCAATGAATCCCTCAACTTCTAGTTTGTTGATAAAAATTTGGAATGCCTCTGTACCTTCTAGCATAATTTTTTTTGGATGGAGAGTTGTTCTAGACCGCCTTCCAACGCGATATCAGCTGTGGAAAAGAGGTATGGTTAACTCTACTGGATTACTTTGCCCTCTTTGTCGAGAAGAAGAAGAAACTGTGTGCCACTTATTCATTCTTTGTCGGATCCGTTCATGTTTGGTCTCTGGTTTTTGTTTGGTTGTGAACTCAACCCCCTGATATGAACTCAATTTTAGACAGCATGAAAATTTTAAACTCTGCTCTAACAGGATCTGTGGAGATAATTTTTCGGTGTAGAATTTGGTTTGCGGTTCTTTGGTCTATTTGGAGGATTCAAAAAAACATTATTTTTAGAGGTGAATTGTTAAATTTCAAATCTTTATTGTATCATATTCAATCTCTCCTTTAGGATTGGAGAGAACTTGGATAGTTTTCTGTCTTCTGTTTGGGATTCTGTTTTCTTTCCCTCTTTGTTCTCCTTTGTATTGGGTTGGACACCCTTAGTGTCCTCTTCAATATAATTTTTTTATAAAAAAAAACAACCATCTAAAATCCTAAAATGATAACAATAAAAAAGAAAAGAAAAAAAAGCTAATAAAGGGAAGGTGTCTGCCTCTTCTTAGCTCTCTGTGTTTCTTTATATGCAACTATTTTTCAACTTTAACAGTTAACCTATAAGAATAAGATACGTGAAAAATTATACATAACAAATAAAATATAGAAGCAAACACTTCAACCAAAAAAGTTAGATCAATACAATATCTCAATTTTTTTTTATAATAACCAACTATTGTTTCTTATTTACCATAAAAATAAAAATTTCAAAATATTTTTCAAAATGGCATAATTTCAACCTTCTATCGTCGGATGAAATGGCAACAGAGTACAAAGGTGATTTTGATTTTAGTGAGGTCGCCGCCATTCAGATTGGCGACAATGTTGTTAAACCAAGAAACTCGCCAGTGAGAATGGCGACACATGCCATGCTACTAGGGTTTTAGTTTTTAATTTTTAAAATGAATTATTATTGAATCATAATTAAAACATAATTATGATTAATTCTTAAAATAAAGTTTTAATAAATTTAGGTTTAATTAAAAATAAACTTAAACTAATTTTATAAATTTAGCCTTAATAAAACTTAAATTGCATTTTTTCTATTTTTAATTAATGTTTTAATTTTTAATTTTAATTATTTTTTTTATAGAAAATATTAAATTACGTATTCATAAATAATTGTTATTAGAAAAAATTAGTGGAATAGTTTATGTAAATATTTTAATAAATTATTTAAAGAATAACAATATAATTGAAATCAAATATTTAAATACATATTTAAATGGTAATAACATTAAGTTTGTTATTAAATTTATAAATATTTTAATTACGTATTAATACATATTTGTTATTAAATTATGTTGTTTGTTTTTCATAATGAATTGAAATTTAAATAACCTTAAAATAATATAGACATGTAAAAAATAGAAAATATATTAATTTACAATATAATGAAAATTACAACTGAAAAAAAAAACTAATGGCCGATTCTATCCAAGCGACCACCGGTGCCACATTGCAGGGGATGCGCGTTGCGACGAGGTTGTTGTGGTGTGTCTGGTCGTTGTGTGTTGAGTTGTGGAGGAGACTTTTGTTGGGACGACCCCGGCGTATCAGATAGATTTTGCAGCATTTGACCCCAATAGCCGGGAGGTCCACTATCAACGGCGCTTCCGTAGTTAAGCCCAATGCACATGTTTTTGTAGGATGGTCTGGGAGGTTAGGTGGAGTATGGACGGTATGGTTGTCCAAATTCGTACATCGAATTGGGTTGGAAATGGTGTGTTGGTTGTTATGGGGTGTGGTAGTCAAACAGTGGATAGTTAGAGGGGGTGTGGTCAAATGAGTTGTCTGGGCTATAGGTGGAGGGGTAGGCTCAAAAGACGTATCAAGGCTATAATGGTATGGTGGTTGAGGCTGAGACTAGGTGGGTGGCATGTACAGGTCATGGTATGGATGTTGTTGTTGATGGGGGGCATTTGGTGGCATGTATGGGTTATGGTAAGGCTGATTTTGGGCATTGGACTGTTGTTGTGTGTTTGACAGAGAAACGCGTTGCCTTGGGTCAACCAAATAGGTTGGCTCGGACAGAAATGGATGAGATGTCGTGACAGACCTAAACCAAGTCATATATTGAAGACTTGGCCTAGCCCCGTGCACAATATGGTCGGTTAAGACGTGATGCCTTCTTCTCTTCCAGTGTTTACACAACTCCTTCGCAAACTCCTTCCAATGACTGACACTTCACTGTGAGTCCACCCGCTTTTGATGCCACTGCCCCAATTCTACCGCAGCATCTAGAATATCCTGATGCATCCCAAATTGTAGCTTCACTCGGTCACTTTGGTGCATCTCCACCGTATTAAACCTAATTATGGGTGTTCTTGATGTCCACACAACAACATCATTGGGGTCGGGCCGGTGGTCGAGACCCTC